CTTCCTAATGATGTAAATACCAATATTATAATAGCAATTAATTGTGCAAAAGACAAGATAAATATTTAATTAATTGAATAGAAAATAAATAAATAAATAAATAATTTACCTGTTTGCTGCTACTCCATCCTTATGTCGCTGGTGTGTGCTATATCAAACAAATGTAGGGAATGTTGGATTAATATAAGATAGGGTTAGGAATTAGAAAAAATGGGCCTTTCAAATGGTTGGGCTGGGCCTTAACTATTGGCCTTTTAATGGGTCAAAAAAATTAAGTTAATTTGGGTCTTTTTTTAATTTATTTTAGATTTAAAACATACCCAATATATTATACTAACTTATAATAGGAGGGAGCCCCTAGTTTGGGTCTATTTTGAGGGGCCCTAAGCCATGGCCTTGTGGGCCTATAGCCAGGGCCGGGCCTGCTTGCTTATGTGCATCCCATAATAAAGCTAGTTTAATAACCGGAATAAGAGCGCATAATGTTTATAAAACATCATATCATGATTAGTAGAGGCCGATCTTTGACCGAGCGAGCGGGAGTGCTCATTTCAGGACCTTCTTCTCTCGTACCCAAGTTCCCGAGCCAAGGCAACTTTGGTGATGACGGACACTTGGCCTTTGGCACGAGTCAGAGTTTCTTTAATTTCCCCAGAACAAAATATTTAGGTGGCGACTCTATAATCTGGCAAAGCAATCCAATTTTGGCATTATTTGATTTAAAATCGATTTTCCAAAATGATTTGCCGAATTGGACTTTTTAGTGATTATCAGTTTCACATTGCACTTGTGAGACTAGATTTCAGAACCGTGGGAGTCCGAACTGTGAGGCCTTCTTTTCAAACCCTTTCCGAAAGGCGGGGGCGCAGAAAACGGCGAGTCCACACTATGTCACTCATAGGACTTATTGGAACATAAAAAAAATAATGTAAACTAAATGGAACATAATTAGATAAAAAGAGATTTATGAAAAAGTTCTCCCAAAATTAAACAAAAAAAATATATTGACAGTTAGTTACATGACATAAAAATATTTTATTATACATACCTCAAACCTCTAACACAAACCCAAACTCTATATGTCATGTGACAATTATTGTGTGGTATTTTCTATTTAATTTTGAACCAAAGTTAACATTAGTAATAAATTAAGAAAAACTTAAAACGTAAATAATCAAAATAAAAAAAAGGGTCAACCGTAATAGCGCAAATTATAATTTACCTTACCTTTTAACTACTTATAATTTTTTTAAAAAAAATTACAAAACAATTTAGAGTTTAATTCTTATAACAAAATAAATCTTGAGTTTTTAATTTTATCAATTTAAATCTTAAACTTTTGAATTATTATTAATTTAAACCATTTGTCAGTTTTTATTAAATAAAATCAATTAAAAATGAGATTTTAGTTATTAAACTTAATAAAAAAAATAGTATTTTAAATATTTTATTTGTATCTACATTGACTTTTATGCCTTAAATGCTCTCTTTATGTTAGTTTTACTTAACAAAAATAAACTAATAATTTAAATTGAAAACAAATGAAAAAATTAGAATTAAATTGATAACTCATTATTTATTTTGTTATAATGATCAAACTGTAGAGTTTTTTTTTTTTTTTAAAAAAAAAATTTCTCCCGAGGGCTATTAAAATGTTAAAAGATTTATACTTTCAAATGTCAATATTAAAAAGTGTATTATTGTCAATAAGAGTGCATTGAAATTAGTAAACAATATTTTGTATTTTACAAACATTTTATCTTTTACTCGTGTTTTAGGATCACTTGTTAGCAAAACCTTGTCTTAAATACTTTCACATATTTCAATGCATTTTTAATACACTTTCAGCACTAACAAGCTAAGAATTTTTTTTGGTATTTTTTTAGGAAAATTTTATTATACACACCTCATATTTTATGTACTTTTAGTTACGTCATTTTATTCTTTAATTATGATCAATTTTATTATTTAGTTATGATTTTATTTTGAGATATTTGGTTATGATTTTTTTGTATTTGGTAATTAATTTTATTTTTTGTTTATAGTTATGACTCAAAATATGGAGTTATATAATTTTCTTCTATAATTATAAGGTATATATAGTACACATTTTTAAAAAAGTGCGTACCATAATCTTTTTTTTCTTTCTTTATTATGAAAATATGTGTCAAGAAAATCTCAAAATTTGAGAATTTTTTTCTTTTACTTTCTAATTATCACCTTCTAATTTATGATAAATTGCACTGTAACAAATAAGCCCATTGCCGTCTTTACTTTTACTTTTTGGGTTTGGCTTCTCAACTTGAGAGAAGGATGAGAAGCTGGCCATCTCAACTTTACATCTTTTGTAAGAATTATACTTGATAGCTCGAAAATAATTGGCCCAAATTGGCTTGAATTGGGTTTTACTCTTTTTTTTTCTTTCTTTCTTTCTTTCCCTTCCCTTTCTTCTCTGAGACAGACAACACAACAGAAAGAGAGAAAAAAAGAGAAGAGAAGAGACGAGAGAGAGAGAGAGAGAGAGAGAATGAGGAAGAGAAGAAGAAGATCTGTGTACACAGAGAGAGAGAGAGAAAGAATGAGAAAAGATAGAGAGCAGGAGGAAGAGAAGAAAGAGATCTGTGTGCACACAGATGGCTCTCTCTCTCTCTACCTCTTTCATATATATATAGATATTTGTGTGTGATTTGGTGTTGATGTTAATGATGATGATCTGGTATTGATGATGATGATGATGATGATTTGGTGTTGATGTTGATGATGATGATGCATAGATCTCTCTCATATATATATATATATATATATATATATATGTGTGTGTGTTGTATAGATTTGTATATACACACAGATTTGGTGTTGATGGTCATGTGTTGATTCTACATTTTTTTTGATGATGGTGATGATGATATCTCTCTCTCTCTCTCTCTCTCTCTCTCTCTCTCTCTCATACACACACACATACACACATCTCAAATCTAACAATCCCAAAACACACTTCCTTTCCTCTCTCTCATTTCGGTCTCTCTCTCTCTCTCCCTCTCTTTCTCTCTCTCTCTCTCTCATACACACACACATACACACAGCTCCCACTTCTCTCTTTCTTCTTCTTCATCTACAGAGAGAAAAGGGGAAAAAAAATTTTTTGCCCTAAATGACGTCGTTTTGGGCAGTCAAGCCACTCGGGCCAAAAGAATTTCGAGCTACCAATCAGAATTGTTTTTGTAAATATTAAAATATATATTGATTGAACAAAAAAAATAGAATTAATTATTTTGGTTATTTCTAATAAAATACATTGATATATTGTCATAATGTTTGATATTATAAAGCCAATGTTGATATTCACATTGGTTTTATATTACTTTATAATTGTGTACAAATAACCATTGGTTTAATATGGCTAAACTAATTTATTTGATATTTTATTCGTGATATTAACATTCACATCAATAATTTGATTGTTCATAAACATATACTTCATGTTTGTATACACACAAAAATAATCAGTATGTTTGGTTTCAATTTTTTGAATTCAGTTTTCTATAAATTGAATTTTTTATTTTTTGTATAGTTTTGTTTTTAATGAATATTTTTAAAATTTTAAGCATTTTTTTTAAAAATATTTTTAGATGCACCTTACTTAGATGTATTTAAAAAGTAAAATATTTGTAAAAAAAAACAATAAATACACAAGATTTTAAAAATGTACCGAATTCTCGCTTTTTTTTTTTGTTGTTGGTATTTTTGGTATTTAGTAAATTTTCTAAAGATTTTTTAATAAATATTATACTTTTTAAGTGTATTTATGTTAGGTGTATCTAAAAATTAAAAACAAAATTGCTTAGATTATTAAAAAAATTCAGTGAAGACAAAAAAATATGGAAACAAAATGATTCAATTTTCTAAAAAGTAAATCCTGAAAAGAAAACCAAACAAGCTGAATGGTTTGTAGTTAACGCAATGTTTGATGTTGTCATATTTTTGGAGATTATAAAATCAATGTGAACATTTACATTGTTTTCAGTTGCTTTACAATTGTGTACACATAATCATTGACTTAATATAATTTGTGGGTAATGCAATTTTGATGTAAACTTTAACATCACCATTCCATAATAATAATTAACACCTTGAAACTACAGTGTGTTTATCTATATTTTAGAATTTATGCGAACCTCAACAACCGTATCTTCCAATATGAACATTCACAACATGTTTGTATTTAAATGAAAGTTAAGGCTTGTGGTTGTATGATTTGATATAATGTTAATGTGAATTTTAACATAACTAGGTCACAGTGGTGATGAATACAATGAAAACATATCTATCATTTAATATTATATGAGTGTGAATATTAAAACTGATTGACAATACAATGGCAATGTCTAATTTCAAACTAATGTGAATATTAACATTAATTAATGATGTGATGATGTTAACAAAAAATCATAAACAATGGCAGCAACAGAATCATAAATCAAAAAAATCTCAATCTCCAAAAATAAAAATAAAAAAACACCCACATTATCATCTTCATCATTATCACTATCATTGATACGTCATGCAATTCCATCATTAGACCAATTCAAATTAAACCAAATCCACCTTTAATGAACAAGTTTGTAATAAAATGGACTGAATACAAATTCAAGCTTAAAATCACAAATAGGGTGCTAACCTTTGTTGAACAATTTTGAACTTGTAATGTCCATATGATCTCTGACTAGAAGAAAAACAGAGATTTGAAATATAACAATGGAAGAACACAATATTCAAAATGTTCTCTCACTACCGATGTGTAAAATAGAGTTTCGATACCCTACCAAAACGTCTAAGAAATATATCTCACTAATTCCTCCAAAAATCAGTGATCACCAAAATTACCAAAATATAATATGGAAATGTGAAGTTTACAATTGTGTATAATACGTGATAGACAATACACACCAAATCACAAGAATATTCTAGCTACTCACAAGAATGAAGTTATAGTTTAGACTATGGTGTATTGTGTCACAGCTGTTCCACCGGTCTTGCCGCCGAGCCCCCAACCGGAGCCCAACGACCGAACTACCACCAGTTGGGCACCAAAACTTACATTCAACAACCGAGATGTCTCAGATGCTGATTCGGTTGTTGCCGAAAAAGATCACCTGTTGGCCTTTAGTCTGGCCAAGAGTGTGTGCCTCCCCAAGGATATGGAGCACCACAAAAAGCAGCTAAACACCGAATTAAAGTCCATTCGGTCTGCAACGAAGTCCATGATCCTGGTAAGTAGCTCCGTCCGTTTTTCTGTCTAGTTTTTTAAGCTTTTACTTCGGCTCATTAGAAGTCCTTGTTTTGTCAGGCAATTCAAAAAAACTACAACACTCACAAGAAAGTGCTGGAACTTAGACAAACTACGAGGGACGCAGTGGCCGAAGCCGAACTGAAGTCGGCCGAGGTAGAAAACATCAAGAAGCAAATGGCCGAGCTGCAGGCTGAGAACAGCAGGCTGACCGGACTAGTTAGCTCAGCAGAGGCAGAAAGGCAGAAGACTGCCATAGCTCTGAAGGACAAATACCTGCGCGAGCTGGTGAAGCTTGAAAGAAAGAAAGATGCCGAAATAAAGGAGAGCGTAAAGGAAGCCGGCAAACAAATGGTGTGAAGTTTGTTCTTTAGCTGATGAATATGAGATCGAGAGACAGATGTAAATCTCTGTTCAAGTGCTTTCCAGACTTGTGAGCAAGTTTGTAGATGAAGAACAGAAGAATATACAGCAGGAGAAAGAGTTGCAATGAGACATGTGAGAAGATTTGCATCAATAGCCTCCCATTGAGCATATGCAGGATTAGGAATTGTTTTGCCAGAGGCATCAGTAATTTCGGATGAAGGACAAGGAATTGCTCCAGTGACATAGCCCAAAAAACCAGTGGCTCGAAGGATATTATGAAGTTGATTTCGCCATATAAGGAAATTGCTGACATCAAGTTTAACAGTGACAAGAGAACTAAAATTTGATAAGAGAGAAGTAAGATTAGATGGAAGAGAAACAGGATCAGCCATGGATGAATCTGCTCGTGAGAGCTCTCACAAGCTCTGATACCAAGTGAAAGATGAAAATTTATTTCATTACTTTCTGCACTCAACAATTACATTACGGTAGAGATTATATATTTATAACGAACTAACACTAACTAACTAATTCACTAACAAACACTTCTAACTACTTAACAAACTAACAAACTTTACAACTGTTACAGAGATTATAATGAGGACTGTTATCAATACAGGACTGTGATAGACAACATATCAATGCTGAGTCTGATGCAGGTGAGCTACTGCTGTGACTGATGCTTTGCTGTGACTGATGATACTTGGACTGAGGGATCTGTGGAAATGCAGAGTCAGTTGGAAATGTAGAGTCAGTTACAGATGAAAGCTTATCAGCAACAAATGAAAGATGCTAAGTAATTTATAGATCAAACACAAAAAAGAAGAAGAGCAGCAGAAAAAGAAAAGAGTATCAGCTGTAAACTAGCAATTTGCAAACACTGAAACTATTACCTCTTGACAAATTTATTTTCACCATGGACCCAATTTAGTGTGTTGGGTTTGAGTTTTCTGGATTAAGTTTTTTGAAAATTGAGTTTTTTGGTTTTCGTATTTTTTTGTTTTTAGTCAATATTTTTAAAATTTTAAATATATTTTTTTACTTTTTTAGATACATCTAAAAAAGTAAAAAAAATATGAAAAAATATTTTAAAAAATTAAGAAATACATAAAAATACAAAAAATGTATTGAATTCTTGTATTTTTTTTGTATTTTTGGTATTTAGTGAATTTTTAAAAGATTTTTTTTACAATTTTTTTACTTTTTAGGTGTATTTATGCTAGGTGTGTCTAAAAAGTAAAAAAATTGCATAAAATATTAAAAAAATTCAATAAAAACAAAAAAACACGCAAAATAAGAAAGTAGAATTTTCTAAAAACTGTTTTTAGAAAAATGAAACCAAACATAGCCAATAATTTTATTTGCATTGACATATATATACGATCCAATATATTCCCAATGCTTCAGTGCCTAGCTCTGCAACAATGAAAAAGGAGAAGAAAATCCTACAATGAGTTCCTCATATTTTCTTGATAAAAGCCCATATTGTTGAGGCTAATACATCATATAGAATGTTGCATTATTGTGTGAAATATTGGATCACTAATGGTTAGAAGACAAGTGATAATTAGTAATAGCCACTAGGTCATGTATGCAATAACCATACAGGCAGGGTGGAACCAGAAAGGTGACTCGAGGGCGGCCAAATTATGAATCTTACATATTATTCACAAATTTTTTCAATATATATCATTTCATAATGGAACAATTTCGAAAGTCTAATTGACATATAGTTTTCATAATTTATTAGTTACTTTTTAATACATTTTGTTTGGGTATTTTTTCTCTAAGTCTGAAACTTATACTATTTGTAGTACTAAAATATAGTATGCATGTACAGTTAAAAAAATACCAAAATTTTATTTTTATAAAAAAAAAAGAAAAGAAAAAAAGTCCTAATTAAATTTACCTGAACTTTACATTAAGTATATTACAAAAATTCAAAATTTTGTAGACAACTTCTTCCTTTTTATTTATTTATTTATTTATTTTTGCGGGCTGGCCGGGGCCCTACCAGTCCCCTTTTTTTGATTGGCAAAAAAAATGGAAACTTTATTGATGACGATAAAAGGTACAAGTTGTACACACAAATACATTAAAACATCAATAAAGAGAAGAGGTTGCACAAAGCATCCCAATAGACTAGAGCATTCCAACTAGGTTGGTACCAAAAAGCCCATCCTATTACATGCCAAGCACCCCCAAAAGAAAACAACCAAGAAAGACAACAAAGAAAAGAACAGCAGATCACAATGGTAGATCAGCAACAGATAACAGATCAGCAAAACACACTCTAACAGAACAGCACCAAAAAGCCCCTACCAGTCCCTTGGTAGGTCCTCCCCTGCATGCATTCTAAGGGTGTACCTACTGCGTTAAGAACATTTTAAAAATAAAAAAATAAAATTGCGAAAACTGTTTTGTAGTAGAAATTTTCACAAGGATAACTGATCTTATATCATTCAAAGAAGCTGCTGAAGATTCGAATCAGTCCAGGAAGCCATGAATCTACATAAATAGAATATTGTATCTTGATTTATATATAATGGTAGAAAAAAGGATCTCCATGATGCCTTTGATTTGAAGTAAACAAACTAAATATATATATACGTTGTCTTGATTTTAGTTCCACCCAATGTCCACAATGACATACTGTTATAAGACAACCTCCAATGAAACATCTTAGCTCTCATACCTAAGCAGTTGAACATTTCATATTCTGTATGAAACTTGGAAAGGGCGTTGCATTTGGCAGAGTCTTTGAATACAAAACTCTGCTCAAAAATTCACAAAAAGTTATTCTTCCAAAACTATTTACAGAATATTGGACAGTGAATAGATAGACATTTTGGGAATAGAGAATCTCATCCCAAATACTTAAGTCGTATTGTAACAGTGTCTTCAGTGAGACAAGTAGCCATCAAACCAAAGTGTATATTTATTTTTTAAACAAAAGGCAATTTATGGATGAACAACAAAACAAAATACAATAGAACCGGGAGAGTGCCAAAAGCATCATCGCAAGGCACATCCATCCCAACTAGTTTGGCATAAAAGAACTTGCCCAACCCAAAGAACAAACCAGTTGGAGAGGCTCCAACTAGCAACAACAGAGAAAAAGAAAACAAGAATACCAGAACCAAAAAGTGAACAAAAAACAACAGAGGCTACTTAGTTTGTCAAAATCCTTACATCTCACTAGGAAGTCAAGGAATGAAGTCTTGCCACAAGTAAGACTCCCCCTCCCCTAAGCTATGGCTTCCAATGTACCAAAAGAAATAATTTAAAACAAATCTAATCAGAACACTATAAAATTCATTTGCAAATAGGACCTAAACAATAGAACCTTCGTTCTTATAGAATTAGGACGCTAAAATGATGGGATTGGTACCTAGGAAAACATTTCTATTGTGCAAACACTAAATAATTTCTTATTTATAAGCCTCTAATCATCAGTAGGGAGGAAAAAAATACCGAGGCTTATTTATGGATTTAGTAATTACATCTTGATCATCCATGACCTCTTTTTGGGTAATTAATCATCCATGGCCATCCATGAAGTATGATCCAAAAAGTAAAATTGTGCAGGTAAAACAACGAGCACTTCAATGGGGGTAAGTGAAAAGAGACTAAGAGATCTATCACAACTAATTAATAGTAAGAGAAGCTATATACATGCATCAGCAAACAATCAAGTTAACTTATACAAAGTTTACCATTGTAAAAAATGTTGTAATGGAAGATGTCTTTAAATAAATTAAAAATAATAATAATAATAAATAAGAGAAGGTAGTAAATTGAGACAATTTTAAAGGAAGCAACATGTATTATGTTGTTGTCATTAGTCACTGATAGTACCACTAGTGTTAGTTACTAGACTAATATTAAAAGTTATTTTCTACTGATATGAAAGAAAAGAAACTATTGAGAATCCATGATTTTTATAACAGCATGTTAGCATAAAAAGAGCAAACTACTATAACATATTTTATATTAGTATTAATATATGCTATAACAAACAAGTGCATAATAAGCGCATAATGTATCTTCTGAAGTATCAGTAAGTTCATTGACCATGGTACATGTTACTGAATCCTACCTCAACAAAAACATCATAATGCAAATTCTATTACATACTGAAAAGCAATCAAGCATACTGCTTCCGAAATAAAAAGGTTGCACCATACATTTCATGAAACAGCATATTTAAGCTATTTACTAAAATAAATAGAATTGCACTGACATATTTACCAAAAAAAAGAAAAAGAAAAGAGAAGCTGTACAAACTACCATTAAATATATATATGCAACTGTTCAAATATAAAGTTGAAAAAGGAGAGGATGAGCAAGTGAGGGCATAAAATAAAATAAAATATACATCTTAAATGAAGTATGAAAGGTTGAACTAATTAGAGTTTATTAAGGCTTGATAGAGTAGGACTCTAGCGAATAAAATATAGGCTAAACAGTAATTTTGCTGGTTCTTGTAAACGAGAAGAACAAGAATCTCATAACCTAATTTGGAGGTTCACCGAATTATCTCCTAATGTTAGGTGCCACACACCTCAAACAATCTTCAATTTTTTAGATCTAAATCAATTGAATAAGTAATTGCTATAGTTCATCTATCTAGAATATTACTTCAAAAATAAGAAAAATCCGTTTAGACCATAATTAACATGTATACAAATCAAAAAACAAGAACTCTAAGAGATACAGTGATATGAGATTTTATGTTATGTTATTGTACTCACTTCCGTGATTTGAGTTTGATGCTTGGTGTATGTTATTATCAACTTTCTCTATCATTGTTGGCAAAACTTGTTTATTGTCTTCAATCAGGAATGTTTGTGGCTCTACTATACCATTGTGTGAACCATATTAAATTTTTGTCCTTACTTTTGAAACTGTGAATAATTTATTTGATGTTCCACAACCCAATCAAGCAAACATTTTGTTTTGCATTTTTGTGTTGTCACAGTACTAGTAAAGCT